GTTCCATGACGGGCTAAGGCTTCCTATTCCCTGTCTTGTCTGGGAGGTCTTGAACCATTTTATGATTGCGTCGACTTAGATTATGCCGAATGGGTAGAGATTGTTAATGGCTCTAGAGAACCTCTGTGTGCGAAATCAGGTGATGTTTGGGCTACACGAGTTGCTATACTTATATTTTCTGAAGGAAAATGACAAGGATAAGGGTCAGTACACGATCAATCTTAGGCACGATCGGGTTCATCTTGTCATCAACCTCCAGTCGAGTGATAAAAACTGGAAGGAATGTTTTTTCTTCATGAAGGGTGAAGCGGTCTTTGGGGAGAGAGGTCAGAGCAAGATCTCATATACCTAGCGAGCGATTGGTGAGGAACTTAGTCTTTATTCAAGCTTTGATTACTAAAGTCTTATTTTGTTTCTCTTTTACAGACTTGGACGCATGACACAGAGAGACAACAACCCAGAAAGTTGAGCGAGAAAGCCAGCAGTGGTTGAGGGAGGTCAAGGCTGAGTTGGAGCGATTGAAGGCTGAGTTGGAGCGATTGAAGAAGGAGTTGGTTGAGAAGAAGGCAGAGGTTGACTCGCTAAGGGAGCAGTGCCTCAGTATTGCCGACGATGCCATCATCAGGGCTAGGGGAGAGCTGATGTTGGAGTACAAGGCTGGTAACACTGCCTACTGGAACTCGGATGAGGACATCCAACTCTTGCGGGAGATGGAGGAGGAAGAGGAGGAGGAGGAGGAGGAGAAGGAGGAGGAAGAGGCTGCTGGTCACGCCGACTATGCGGAGGAGCGGGTCGGTGACCAGGTATTTGACCTCGCTAGTCAGCCCGGGTGGCTGGTTACAGAGGATGCCAGTGACCAGGCTACGGGGACGATTGCTAGGGCCAGTGACAGGGTAACTGAGTTAGAGATGAGTGAGACGACTCGTACTGACGATATCGGGCATGATGCCCCTTATGCTTATGTTTATTTTTTTTTCTCCTGTATTTTTGGGGCCTGCGATGCCCTTTCAATATCGTTGGGTTCATGCATTTTGGACATGGAAATGGAGAGAAAATGATGATCAAGATGATGGATGCAAGGTAGAACACAAACATAACACATAAGCCTAAAAAATTTCAAGGTAAGGATGGAATATTACCTACTCCTTTGCTATTCAACACTTGAATCTTCTTTCTTGGAATCTTAGTTCTTCAAGTGAAGTTGAAGAACCTCAAAATGTGATCCACACAAGCTAAGGATAAGAGAACCGTGAGAGTGAGAGAGAAAATAAGGGTGTGATTTTGCTTTAATTGATTCAATTCAATTAAAATGGCATAAAACTTAATTTATATACCATGGGCACAAAGTGTAATTTTAAATTATTTTGGGAAGGCCTCAAACAATTTAAAATTAACTTAAGAATAAACATTTATGTCAAGTCCTTGGTTTTATGGTTAATTCATAATTAGACCAAATTTTAATTCCATTAAATATTCTAACTCTTTAGAATAAAACCAATGCACTTTTGCCCCCATTATTGAATCCGATTCAATAATAATATTTACTAAATCCTTATTACCCTTGGTTAGTGCTAGCTATCCATGGATAATCATTTCTCACTAATACATTAATTCGGATGCAATTGTTTACGTCCGAAAATCATTATTCTGATTAATGATATGTATTACTCTCTCTCCTTGAGCTTGGTTTTATGTGTGACCATTTTGGTTCACTGTGATCTAGCCATGAGCTCAATATCAGATTTTGATATGCTTCGTTATAATTCTTTATAATCGAAACTCCCACTGATTATGGTAGACGTCTAGCAATATTCCATAACCCCTAAATCACAATGAAGTGTAGACTCCAATGAACCTATTTTGATTGTACGTACTGTGTAGTCAAATACCTCTATTCTAATCTCGATTAAGAATGGTTCATGGTATGTCAAAACCTTTAACTTAATCTTTAATCGAATTGTCAATCGATACAATGGAACTCATCAACATGAAACTAGTTTTCATCTGACATTCATTATACTCTAGCCAGAGATTTTCCTTTTCCAATGTTTATTGACATTCGTCTAGGAACTCGAGATTGGACTATTTCGAGTTAATGGATCCCATCTTGACCATCACTTGTCCTCGCACATGAATAACATATGACCAAACTGGCTTATTACATAAGACATGAATAGTCTTGTGCTTATACACCATGTGAAACATATGCATCCTATGTTGAATCCAACCGTGATGTCTCAGATCTAAGGATCAATGGTACACTAGCACGATCCTACGATGCATCATTGACCATATCCATGTGATTCATCGTAATCGGTCGTATTCGATAAATAGTTCACTAACCGTTTATCCATGCTAATGCCTCAATGACATACCTCTTATCATCACCCACACTAATACCATCACATGATATTCAATAGAGACATTCAACATGCCTACTATGCAATGTTATTGCCCAATTAACATTACTTGCATAGGGAATTCTTTGATAATTTGATCTTCTGAAGATCCGTGTCATCCGGACATTTCACATGCAATATTAAATATAATATAATATAATATAAATGAAGCAGAAAATCAACATGTGAAATAAGAACACTTTCTTTTATTCATAATACATTTACAAGATATAATGTCCTGAAACCGACAACACGACTGGTTCCTAGGGCATACACTAACAAAACTCTCACTTGTACTAGTGCCAATCGCTATGGTATCTAATACCCATCTTCTCAAGATGATAGTCCAACTGCTTCTGTGTCATCGCTTTAGTGAGTGGGTCAGCTACATTCTCTGCCGAAGGTGTTTTCTGCACCAAAATTTCTCTAGCTCCAATGAATTCTCTAAAAATGTGATATTTACGCTGAATATGTTTTGACTTCTGGTGTGCTCTTGGCTCCTTTGCCTGTGCAATAGCACCAGTATTGTCACAGTACAAGGTTATCGGATAAACCATGTTTGGAACCACACCATGTTCAATCATGAACTTATGCATCCAGACAACTTCTTTTGCTGCTTCTGAAGCGGTAATGTATTCAGCTTCAGTTGTGGAATTGGTAGTAGTTGATTGTTTAGAACTCTTCCAACTGAATGCTCCTCCATTGCATATGAAAATGAACCCAGATGTAGGCTTTCTATCATCCACATTTGATTGGAAATCAGAATCAGAGTATCCTTCAATTTTCAACTCTAAACCTCTATAACTTAGTATTAGATCCTTAGTTCTTCTTAAGTACTTAAGGATCGTCTTAACAGCTGACCAGTGTTTTTCCCTTGGTTCGGACTGATATCTGCTTGTAACACTCACAACATATGCAATATCAGGCCTAGTACATAGCATAACGTACATGAGACTACCTCGGCTGAAGCATAAGGTATTCCACGCATCCGCTCACGCTCCTGGTCAGTCTTTGGACTCATATCTTTTGAAAGATGAATTTCATGACTGTAAGGCAAAATTCCCCTTTTGGAGTCTTGCATGCCGAACCGTTTCAGCATCTTTTCTATATACATCTTCTGGGATAAGCCTATTAATCCAATGTTTTAAAACTCAGCCCGGCCCTGCCTGACCGGTTAAACCTGGACCCGGCTGGCGAGCCAGGCCGGGTGAGCCCCAAAACTGGCATTATTAGTCTGTCTATTAACACTCACGGTTGGATCGGTGCACTGTAGCACCCGCTGGTCCAACCGTCAAGTTTAAAAAATCCAGGTCATTTAAATTTTTAATTATATAATAATTATAATATATATTAATGAACAGTAAACCCCAAATATTTAACATTTCCCTAATTCCCCCCCCCCCCCCAAATTTTCATGACATTTCTCACCCTTTGCTTTGAAAGTCTGAAGCTGAACACTGAACTCTGAAAATTACCGCCGGAATCTTCCCTTCACCATCGAATCTCCTCCCATTTGCCTTCACCGTCAATGGCTTACTTCGTCGTCAGTTGGGGTACTGCGAATCTCCTCCTATTTCGCGATCTTCTTTGGCCTCACACACTCATCATCACCACCAATCTACACCGGACATCCATTATCGTCATTCTTCTCAGAGCTGCATAGTGGAGACTCAATCTCAATCTCGGAGCTGCACACACTGTTCTTCACATTGCTTGAAACTCATGACTCAGCTTTTCATAGCTGCCCTGTTCACAGCCGAGCTCCACCTCCCCGATGGTCAACGAACAACAGCTCATCTTCACCACCACCAGGTAACTGTCACGATGTATGCATATGTCTTTGTTTCAGGTCTTGTGCATGAGATTGAGATGTCTTTGTTTAACGGTGTAAGCATACTGCTCTCTGGTAAATTAAAGCCTAGTGAACATGCTTTACAGTTTGAACTTTGAAGGGAGAACTAATGACAATGATCAGGCCTTTCTGATCCTAAATTCCTAATTGTAGTAAAAGTTCTGTATCCATTATTTATTTATTTAATTTTTGTTTTGTAAAAGTTATTGAATTCATTCAAACCTATAAGATTTAACTTGATTGGTGAATGGTGAATGGTGAACCAGTTCTGAATTGTTGGTAGTTGGTACTTTAGGCAGAAGCGGTGGTGTTGTGTTGAAAAATGAAAACTATCACTTTGTTTCAACAAGAGATAGTGATAGTTTTCCCTTTTGTTTAAACCAATAACTAGGAAAACTCCAAGTCTTATAATGCAAAAATCTCATGATATTATACATTGGGGGCAAACAGGCAAAGTCTCATCAAGTAAAATCCTGACATTGTAAAAGTTGGTTGGAAGATTGTTGAAAGAAGAAAAGAGAAAGGACCTGTTGGCATAACATGGAAAACAGTAAAAGTGAAGGATAATACAATGTAGGCAGAACCTATGCATGTGTTGTCCCTTCCACTTTTTTTAGAGATTTAGGAGTTCATTATGGAACTATTTGTTTGAATACATGTAATTCTGTAAAAAAAAATGTGGACAAGTGGTTTAAACTTATTTGTTATTTGTGTTGCCAGGGTAGAGATCAAGATTAAAGACAAAGAATATGTCATCATCTGGGTCTTGTCAACAATCTGTTTCCATGGATGTTTCTCAAACTTTTCGAGAAAGAAATGATATAGCATGGGCACATGTTAATGAGGGCGTGGATGAAAATGGGAAGAAGATATTAACATGTCTTTACTGTGGCAAGATAATCAGAGGTGGAGGAATTTATCGAGTGAAATTACATCTAGCAGGTGTAAAAGGAGAAGTTGGAAAGTGCCCTAAAGTTCCTTTCGATGTTAAATTCAAGATTGAAGAAGCACTAAATGAAATTAGGGCCAAGAATAAACAAAAAGTTGAACTTCGTAAGAATGTCAATCCTTATGGAGCTAGTGTACAACAATTTGAGGGTGATATGTTAGATGAAGATAAAGAGTGTGAAGAGGTTTCTCCATGTCCAGCTCCAGCTCCAACTTCAACTTCAAGCAGTAAGAGAAAAAGATCTATTAGGATAGGTGACTATTTTGCTCCGAGGACTAAGTCTGGGTCTTAGCCCTCAATTAAGAGTTTTTTAGTTGGAAAAGAAGCTAAGTGGAAAGCGGACATGGTTGTTGCAAGGTTATTTTATGATTCTTGCATCCCAAATAATGTTATTAATTCAATTTATTTTCAACCTATGGCAGATGCTATAGCTGCAATTGGTCCTGGGTATAAAATCCCAACTTACCATAATTTGCATGTAAATTTATTGAGAGATGCTAGGAAAGAAGTGCAATTACTTGTTGATGGTTACAAGAAAACTTGGGAGGATGTTGGATGTACTTTAATGGCTGATGGTTGGACAGATAATTTACATAGGTCGTTGATTAATTTTCTAGTGTACTGTCCTAAAGGAGTGTGTTTTGTGAAATTAGTGGATGCTTCAGATGTTGTAAAGGATGCTGCAAGATTGTTTGGCTTGTTTGAGGAAATAGCTTTATGTGTTGGACCAAACAATATTGTCCATCTTGTCACTGACAATGGAGCAAATTATAAAGCTGCTAGAAGAATGTTGTCTGAAAAATATAGCAATATTACTTGGTCTCCTTATGTAGCACATTGCATTAATTTGATGTTGAAAGACATAACTGAGATGAGTCATACAGTCAACCTTTCGACACGTGCATCTAAGGTTACAAAGTTTGTGTATAATCATTCCTTTATGCTAGCTTTGCTGAGGAAAAAATAGGTTATATACCTTTACTTCATATGCTTATAATTTATATTGTCAAGACATATTATATATGTACACTTTTTAATAATTTACCAAGTACTAACATTTATTGTTTATCACTTGAATAGGGTTGGACAGAAATTATACGCCCAGGTGCAACCCGTTTTGCCACAACTTTCATTGCATTGAGCAACCTACATCAACACAAACATGACTTGCAATCTATAGTGACAGATAGAACTTTTGTGGAGTCTCGATATACAAAAACTAATAAAGGCAAAGCATTTATTTCCATAGTTCTAGATAACCAGTTCTGGGATGACATTGTTATAGTTTCCAAAGTTGTGAGTCCATTGATGCGTATGCTCCGGATTGTAGACTCAGATGAGAGACCTTCAATAGGATATGTGTATGATGGCATGTACAGAACGAGGATGGGGATCAAGAAGCTGTTTAAGAACAAGAAAAATTTATGCAAGCCTTATACAACAATTATTAAGATGCATTAGGATAGAATGTTGCGCCGTGATATTCATGCAGCAGCATATTATTTAAATCTTGCTTTTAAATATGATGAAGATACTTTTTCCAAAAAACCTGAGATCATGTATGGTTTTCTTGACACTATTGACAATAAAGCAAGTGCATTCAAAATGAGCAAGACAATGTTAATGGAGGAGAGTAGATTATATCGAGACCGTCTAGAAAGCTTTTCTCGTGAGCTTGCTCTTCAAACTTGCAAAACTACACGGCCAGGTATGTAATAGTTATTAACTTTTTAAGTCTAATTTTTAAGTTATGAAATTGTGTTTATTTCTTATGTAATTTATACTTTTATTCTCAATTAGATGAATGGTGGAGGACATTTGGGTTTAGGACTCCAAATTTGCAAAAGTTTGCAATCAAAATTCTAAGTCAAACTTCGGCCTCTTCCAGATGTGAGCGAAATTGGAGTGTTTTTAAACGCATACATACTAAAAAGAGGAATAGAGTGGAGCATCCACGGTTGAATGATTTAGTTTTCACTCATTATAACTTGCGTTTGCAAAATAGGTATAAAGTCTTCTTCATTTTGTTATTTTCATTGATGTCTTTATTGGTCATGATTTGAATATTTAATTTTTTTATTTCAGGAGTTGTTACAAGAAAATTACATATGATCCTATTGATTATGAGAGTATTGATAAAACTGAATGGTGGATAGTTGATGAGGAAGAGGAGGTTGGTGAGCTTAATTATGATGAATTAGAACAATCATTATATGGAGAAGGAGCTATTCCTATAGATGGTGGTGATCACCCTTCTTATTATGACTCAACAGATGCTTCAGAAGGTTATCTACAATTTTTTAAGCAATTTCAATTTGGTATTAGCTAGTTTATATTCAATTAGTTTAAATGGGAAGATTTAACTTATGGTTTTCCTTTTTTGCTAGAATTTTTTGTCGATGATGTCACCGATGTTAATAATGATGACGATCATCCATCAGGTGGTGTGTGAATTGTCAATTTTAATTGAGGATGGAATGATGGATTGATTGATTGAAGACCATTTGGTGAAGATCATTTTTTGTTAGAATGTTGAAATGTTGACTTGAAAGTTGAAAACTTGAAACAACTATTATGTGATTTTTCTTCATTCATTTTGTTATTTTGATTTGTAATTTGTTGTATTATTGATGTAATGATGTTTGATGATGCTTTGCTATGGATTTTTTATTTTGGAGTTTATGATTTGGACTTTAGAGCAAAATTTGGGAAATAAGTGGATTATGTGAACAGTATTTTTATGATGTCATCATGCTGACGTCAGCATGATGACATCACCAGTTGAACCAGCTGGTTCAACCGGTTAAATCGGTCGACCCGGGACCAGACCATCTTGCCGGGTTTTGTCCCAGGTCGATTTTTAAAACATTGTATTAATCCTTTCGTTCTATCTCTATAGATACAAATTCCTCAGATGTAGGTCGCTTCTCCTATGTCTTTCATGGAGAAAGTTCCGGATAACCATAACTTAACTTCAGTCATCATCCCAATGTCATTTCCCATCAACAATATGTCATCTACATACAATATGAGACATATGATTGCATGATCCTTTGTCCATTTATAAACACAGGGTTCATCCAGATTCTTTATAAAACCAAACGTTTTGATTATTTCATCAAACCGAATGTTCTAGCTTCTTTAAGCTTGTTTTAACCCGTAAATGGATTTATGCAGCTTGCACACTTTATTTCTTTCAGAACTGGATACAAAACCTATAGGTTGTTGCATGTAGATATTTTCCTCAATAAATCCATTGAGGAATGCTGTTTTGACATCCATTTGCCATATCTCATAATCATAGTGTGCAACTATGGCTAGCATAATTCTGATGGATTTAAGCATAGCGACTGGTGAGAAAGTTTCCTCATAATCCAACCCTTGTTTTTCAATATAACCTTTCGCAACCAATCTTACTTTGTAGGTCTCTACATTTCCATCTTTGCCAATCTTTCTCTTGAAGATCCATTTACATCCAATAGGAACTATTCCTTCTGGAGGATCAACGAGAGTCCATACTTGATTAGCATGCATGGATTCTATCTCAGAATTCATAGCTTCTAGCCATTTTCCAGAATCGATATCTAATATCGCTTCTTCATAACTTCTAGGATCATCCACATGACTGACTTCTCCAATCATGATAGATTCAAAAATCTCTTCATAAAGTAACCCATATCTTTCTAGAGGTCGAGATACTTTAGATGATTTATCAATTGAAACCGTTTCAGGTATTAATGTTTCTTGAGAGGGACCACCCATTTAAGTAAGGCTCCCTGGACTCTTCCTGGAGCACAATTTTTCTTCTTGGATCACTCTCTTCTAAGAACTCTTTCTCAAGAAAGTGTGCATTCCTACTTATCGAAATTCATTGATCAATGTGGAAGTAAAAATAATATCCCAAACTATTTTTGGGATACCCTATAAACCGACCTTTCTCGGATTTAACGTCCAACTTGTCTGTCTTGACAATTTTGACATAAGCTGGACAACCCCAAATTCTCATATATTTGAGACTAGGAGGTTTACCATACCACATCTCATATGGTGTCATCTCAATAGATTTAGATGTACCCTATTCAGAATATGCATAGCAGATTCAAGGGCAAATCCCTATAGTGACGTTGGCAAGTCCGTAAAACTAACCATCGACCGTACCATATCCAAAAAGTACGGTTCCTCCTTTTAGACACACCGTTATCTTGCGGCGTATATGGAGGAGTCAACTGGGATATTATACCATTCTCCTTTAGAAAATCTCAAAATTCCGTACTTAAGTATTCACCACCACAATCTGATCGTAGAGTCTTAATACTCTTTCCGGTCTGTTTCTCTACTTCATTCTTAAACTCTTTGAACTTTTCAAAGGATTCAAATTTGTATTTCATTAAATACAAATATCCGTACCTAGAATAATCGTCGGTAAATGTAATGAAGTATTGAAAACCTCCTCGAGCCATTTCATTAAATGGTCCGCATACATCTAAATGTACAACCTCTAATAATTCTTTGGATCTTTCCCCTTTACCCTTAAAGGGCGATTTGGTCATTTTTCCTTGAAGACAGGATTCACAAGTTGGATAGGGTTCTGAACCCAATAGGCTTAAAAGCCCATTTGCTTCTAACCTGATTATCCTTTTATCTCCTATATGACCTAATCGATGATGCCAAAATAATTTTGGATTAATTTCATTTCGAGATCTCTTATTTGTAATGGTATTAATCATGTCATAATCATTCATTACCAAAACGTACAAACCATTTGTATTAATTGCTTTGCCAACTAATTCATTTCCAAAATAAATTAGACATTCATTTCCATTAAACTGTATTTTGTAACCAGATTTACATAAAACAGAAATAGAAATGAGAATTCTAGTTGCTTTGGCAAAATACAAAGTTCTGTACAAATACAAAATGTGTCCTGATGGCAATGTCAAATGGCAAGTCCCCATTGCCTCGGCCGCAACTTTTGCTCCATTTGCCATCTTCAAAATTACTTCACCTTTTAACAGTGCAGAACTATTCCGCAGTGCCTACAATGAAACACAAATGTGAGATGTAGCAGCTGAATCTAATATCCAGGAATGATCATTTGAACTAACATTTAATTTAAATTCTATAACATAAGAATGGAACATACCTGTTGGAGCTTTCTTCAAGCTCTTCAGATAAAGAGGACAATTCCTCTTCCAATGTCCATCTTTCTTGCAGTGGAAACACTGGCCTTTATCATTGACCTTTTCTTTGCCCTTTTAGTCTTAGAAGCATCCTTCTTGAAACTAGGCCTTTTCTATGGTCCAACTTTTGGACCCTTCTTTTGCTTCCATTGCTTTTTCTTAGTCTTACTAGAAGAAGCTGCAAAAACATCTCTTGCCCCTTTTCCTTTCTTCCCTGCTTATAGAACTGTTGAAACAGTTCTGCAAGAGTGCACTCAATCCTATTGAGATTATAATTTATGATGAAGGCCTTGAAACTTGGTGGAAGGGATTGCAGAATCAAATTCACCTCAAGACTGTGGCATCACAATCTCAAGTGTACGCAATTGCCCTATTATACTACTCTTTTTCATAACATTCATCTGGGCAACTCCCTCCCTAAGCCTCATTGTGAATAGTGTCGAACACATTGTATTGCTTCACACTGAGTTCTCACCATACAACTCTTGTAAAGGATATTATCTCATTCGCACTTTCCATCTTTCATGCTCAACCTGGAGCTCAACATTCATTGATGCTAGCATGTAGGTTCGAGCTCGCAAGTCATCCTCCTGTCACTTATCGAAAACTTCATTTTCTTGCGGTGTGGCATCAGGAGACAAAGAAAGTGGAAGGGGTGCCTCCAAGACTTACCTGATTTTTTAGGAATTGAGAATAATTCTAAATTTTTTAACCAATTATTAAAATTAGGTCCGATAACATGTTATCGAGAATCCTCAAAAGCAAGTTATTGTTATTTTCGTTAACTAAATATCACAAAATACCGAAAGAGACTGCAAGGAAAAATATAAGTTTATTAGTGTCTTGTAAATTCAAACCCTTTAATGCTAATCTATTAGCTCCCACTTTATTCAAATCCCATACCCCCTAAATGATGATTTGGAAATTTGTTGGAATAAATTTCTAGTGGGGAACTAAATTCTTATTAAATTTAATTAAACCTCACATACTAGAAATCTTGGTCAATTAAATTTAACAAGTAGGAAACTATTCCTTTTATATCACTATATAAGGTATGATTCAATTCTGCCTCTAGTTTGGATACCTCACATAAATAAATCTTGGTACCCCGACTAGATAATCCAACCCATTATGCTTTCTTAAAATAGAATTCTCATTATACTCTCACATAATAGAAATCTTGGGTATTATGAAAATTTCTATCCAAGAACTAAGACAATTAATTCCATGTCATAAATTAGCATCCCTCACATAATAGAAATCTTGGGACTTAATTTTATG